TAACTAAGGAAAATAAAATACTAAGGAAAAGAAAATACTTTTGATTGTGAGATGAATCCTTCAGAATTTCAGATTTCTTTACAACATGGTAAAACTGATGCAGTGGTGATGACATTGTTGAATTTATTTTTTAAAATATATTGATGAATTTATACCCTGACTCTGTCTTCATACAAATGTTCAAGGTGGCTTATATAGTAATTTTTTAAAAGTCAATAAAACATAGTAAAATTGACAAAATAAAATAAAACCAAAAATTCAAATCACAATAATTAAAATAGTTCATCAATAATCCCAGTTTCAATAACTTCTATTTTCAGCCCTACTACTGTTGCAGCTAACCTGGAAAAACTATATTATTATCATGCTGAAGATGTTCAGCTTTCCTTGGCCTTGCTACTAACTACTAGCTTGCTACTAGTCTGACCTAGACAATCAGTAGTGAAAAGTACTGAGTGAGTCTACTAAATCTAGGCTCCAAAACTCTGAGCAATTACTAGTTGGCAGCAAAGAAATAGAGGAAATTCTGTGTCTCTGCTGCCATCTTGTGATTGTCTAAATTTGGCAGCTCAGATCTGGCAGCCCTAATACTGCAAGCCAAAACACTGCAATCAAGTCATCACAGGTGACTTTCCAAGGGGATGGATGGCCGCTGCAATCTACAAGTTAGATTTGAAAAATCAAGATGATTTTCTAACTATGTAGTTATATAAGATAAATCAGACCTCTGTTGAAATTAAAAATGGTTAGAAGTGGATGTAAATGTAGTTCAGAAGCCTGCAAAGCATCCAAGGCTCAATTGCTACTGTATTAGTGAATCAGGGCACTTCCACCCAAGCTGTTTGTACCACTCCTGGATTAACTCCACATCTCTGCGATCCCAGGCCATTGTTTTTCTTCAATGGAAGAAATGCTAAGCTCCAGTGCCAGAACAAATTGCTATGAATCTGCTTTTCAGCTGGAAATGATGGAATTGGTGAAATTTGAAGGTACTCTAGTCTAGACCATTTCCAAATGGAAGAAATTTTTTCCTCTTGGTTCCTAAGGTTTAGCCACAACATTACCAAGTCCTATCAGGAGAATTATGTTTACCAAGTTCCCATTTCTCCAGAATTTTAACAAGATTCCACCAGTATCTGTGCACCCCACTCCACCCCACCC